AACCCATATATATATATATATATATATACATATATATATATACACACAGAGAAACAAAAATCAGGGAATGGCTTTCGGGCCATTAGCCGGAGTCTGCGGGTCCTATCTGCACGGTTTTCTCACGCCAGTTCGCTCGGAGCTTCCGCAGCTTCCGGGCAGCTGCACAAGTTGTGCTTGAATCAAGGTTTAAGGCTTGACGGCTTTGAGGGCTTTGAGGGTTTGGAGTTCAGGGTTTAGGGTTGAGGGTTTTGGTGTGTTTATTTCGTCAACTTTGCGCGACGGCAACATGTGATCCCTGAACAACGCTTCAGCAGGCGTCGCACTCGGACACCTCTTTGGACTAGATGCTTGCGACATGTAAGACCATGTCAGTTGGCCGAGCTCGACTTACAATAGAGAAGGCAGCGAGAAGATTCAATTTATTTCGGCGAAGACAAAACATCAAGCTACAGGAATAACATCACCTCTGCACAGCTCTGGTAATTACAAGGTCGCTCAACTCAGCATACACCATTCAAAACGTGTTGTTATTGACAGCGGGGCCACCCAACATCATTTGTGGAACTGCTTCTTTCTCAAACCTTTGGTGATCCACAGGGAGCAATCTGAGTTGCATGTCTGAATGGCAGGTTGAACATCCTAGTATGTGGATGGAGGTTGCCAGATCCGAACTCTAGGCATTTTCGCACAACAGGAAGAGAAATCAAAGCGTCAGGATAGAGCTAATTTCACAAGCTCTGTGCAACTGCTGCAGCTGGTTCCACCAAGCCAAAGATGTGCAAAATCAACTTGAACATGGCGTGTTTCCGGTGTCCACACTTGCCGTGCAAGCTCTGGGTTGTTGTTTATGATAGAGAGTCCTTAACACTGGAGCAGGTGTGGATTGTTTGATACAATGTAGAGATACAGAGAGGGACTACAAGGTTACCGGGGGATATGATCACCGATTATTAGACCCTCATGCCTTATACTTCACCAGCCGGTCTTGCTCACAAGGTTGCTTGACACGCGCAGAGACACACACGATGAAGATGCGAAACCAGACACTTGCGCTCCAACAGTCCAAAAATCTTAAAACCTACACGCAAACACACACACACACACACACACACACACGCCTCATCCTTTCTGCCGGGCAACAAAGCCCACCCTGAGATCAACGTATCGTCCTGGCCACATAATCACAGGGTCCGGAAGCTTAGAACACAACACACCTATCCGTCCCAGCATCCATACCGTTTTGATAAGCCCACAATACCGACATCCTCCCCGCTTGGGATGTGGACCCTTCCGAAACAAGACCAGCGACCCTGAGTAATAGGATCGCATACTTACATACATGAAAAGGTACTCCCCCAAAAGACCTCTAGTTTGAAAGCTCCGTTCTTCAGGTCAGGAGGTGTTCCTTCATACTCGGAGGGCTTCGTATTATGGCTTCAGGATTATTCCTGAATTAAGGGGGTACTGGTCTCTGGATTCCTCACCGTGACCCTGGAAGGCCCTAGAACGCCTAAACATTTTTAAACGCCCAGACCAAGCATCCCAAAGCCCTACAATACCAAAAACCCTAAAACCCAACAAAGCCTCGAAACTCTACAACACCGAAAACCTCGGGACCCTAAACCCCTACAACCGTAACCCCCCCCCCAAAAAAAAAACCACCAACACAACCCTTTGGCTCTCTGAGTCCACCTGCGACACGCTAACTTAAAGCGTCCTTGCGGCGCGGCGGCTCAGACATGACCTTCGGGAATATAACATAGTATGTGATGTTATGTTTGTATATGGTACTATGTCATATTAGGCCGTAGCATAACATACGAGATTTTATTTCGTTCTATTATATACATAGTACTTTATTGTAATGTACTGCACCGTGTTGATTTTAAGTTTAAATTCCATTATGTCATATGGGACTATGTTGCCATTTATCTTGATATTGTGTTGCCTATTGTAATGTACTGCACCGTGTTGATTTTAAATTTAAATTCCATTATGTCATATGGGGCTATGTTGCAATTTATCTTGATATTGCGTTGCACTACATTGCGTTACACTGCATTATATGAACTGATAGACTATCATACTACATTACATTAGTTATATTGATATCATATCCTCGTGTCGTATAGTATGGTATGGTATAAGTTCACTGGCAGAACAATATGGGTGAAGGGCTCAGCGGTCGCTGTTTAGCGCTGCAGGGATTCAGGCTTCTTATAGGGTTTGGTCTAGGGCTTAGGGTTTAGGGTTTAAGGTTCAACGTTCAAGATTTGCTACGGTTTCGGGCTTTATAATTTGTCATGATGATGGGCCAGAAAGGTTCTATCTACCAACAGTTACGATAACAAGAACAACAGTAATGGTAAGGCTAATCGTAAAGCAACACGATTTGGAGCTTCAAGCATGCACTACCCTGAACATTCTGGTAGAATTTGCGCGTCGAAGCACTTCTCGTGAGGAGCAGCAAGACTAAGTTGGCGCATTCCAGCGTCTGCCTGTGTCTAGGGTTTAGGGTTTAGGGTTTAGGGTTTAGGGGTTTAGGGTTTAGGGTTAGTATCTGTCTCTCCGTCTAGCTGTCTATCTTTCATAGCTCTCGCACATGCGACCGCTGAAGCTGGCGTCCAAGCGCACATGATATACATTTCAGCCGGCAGTTGAAGCAAATTCTTCGTGCAGCTAGCTTCTTTGGTCCTCACAATAGAGGGGTCCCAACAATAGAGGGGCCGTACATAACATGTTCTACAGCATCTTTTCTAACAAGGAGCCCTGAGGAACAATGTTGGTACAGCAACGCATGCTTTTGCCGGCACTCGCTCTTCGGATCTTCTGGGGAAGCGACGTGTTGCAAGACAGGGGCGGCAGCTACATTAGCTTCTACCCTCAACCCTAGACCTTAAACCTAAACCCATGCTGCGGTAGAGTTTCAGCGATCCCTTGGAGGGAGTTTCAGAAACAACCCGTAAAGATCAGAAGTGGCCATCACCTAGACACTATGAGGGTGTAGTAGAGTTCAGGCAGCCCTTTGTGAGATCTTCCCTCGAAATCTTCACAATCCTGCACTATGTCGAAACCAGCCGCACTGTCGTCCGGTGGGTTGAAGCCCAGAGCAGTTGCGGGCAGGCCATCCTCAGAGCTTTTCAATGGTCTCTTGAAGCCTTCTAAGCCCTGAGCCCTCAAACCTCTAAACCCTGAAGCCTCATGAAATCATATGCTACGCGGCTACACCTTCCCTAAGCCCCTATACTTACGCTCTTCCAAAGCTTGCGGAGGTTTGAACCAAGAGGCGCCGGCACCAAAACCTTCGTTATTTAATGCAGACTACGGCCTAAACCCTGAGATATTTGAAACTCAAAATGACGGATCCCAGTCTGATCGAAATGGATGAAACCCTAGGTTACAGGAGCTTGTCCCGCAGAAGAACACCCCAGACATAAAGTCAATGTTTGCTGCCCTCAGGGTGTATAGGTTCAGGGTCTAACTAGGGTCCAGGCGGTTTCTACATCCGGCGATTTTTGATGAGGGTGACGAGCGGAACGCTCTTGACGCGGGCGTGCTTTTAGAACCCTCCCTGATGTCACAGATAGCTTCCGGAGCGAGAGGTCCCTAAACCCTAAACCCAAAACCCCTGAACCCTCAACCCTCCCTTCTTGGGCTTCATCCGCCTTCGTCGGGGTTTGGGCGTTTGCAAATTAGTTCGAGGGATCTTCCTGCTGCTCTGAGGTCTCTTGGGTTCAGGGTTCCGGGTCTACTTCAGGGGAGGTCGGGGCAGTAGTGCCTTCATTGAGTTTGAAAGCGGACGTAATGTAGTGGCCTTAAAAATTAGAATAGGGTTTTGGGTGTCTATTCTACTACAAGTATACTAAGGAAGCCCCGAAACTAGTATAGGTTGTTACTAAGGCCCCTATATTAACACTAAACCCTCAACCCTAAACCGTGGCCTACAGCTGGCTTTGGTAAAATAACACCTCTCCTCTCGTCCCATCCTTCGAGTAGGAAGACTGGGAACCCTGAACCCTTGAGCATCGAGGCCAAAACCCTAAAATGTAAGGGGGGCTTAGGGTTTAGGGCATACAGCTTTGTAGGGGTTTGGGGTTTAGGCGAACCTGCAAACCCAAAACCTAAAACCCTCAAACTCATTCCGAGTTTGTCGCAGTCTCCTGCAACGTTCGATCAAGAGGTGCGGCCTCGTTCTTTCACTGTCCTACAATTTAGGGTTTTAGGGTTTGGGGGTTTAATTGTTGATGAAAACCAGTGGTAAACCCTTGTTATAGAAGCCCCACAAAAAAACCTTGTAAGACCTCATCAGCGCCTCGACTGCCCTCAAATCCAGCTTCCGGTAGAACCTGGAGACGGAAAGTGCCCCTATCCTCCGCCACGGGTCTGTGACCAAGTTGACCCATAAGAGCTGCACCGGTGCCAGGCTCCTTGGGATGCACGTAGCGCTTTCATCAGCGAAGTCTTCTTGAAGTACCAACTGCCAAGGATCCCCGGCCCTTGTTCATCATTAGAATAGGGTCTTAGGGCATATTATAGTATAGCTATGGTTTAGGGTTTAGGGTTTAGGGTTTAGGGTTTAGGGTTTACGGCTATGAAGGAACCATGCGGTGATCATATTCCAAAATTATTCAAGCCTCTACGTTACCTTTCGTTTCTTATGAGGCTCGCGGTTAGTACTGCTTCCACAAGGCTGCTTGCTCCTGTTCTTACTGGTACTACTCCTCATCACCGTAAGCAGGCAACTACCGTGAGTCATGGCAGCAGTGGTAGCAATCATGGCCAGGGCGATGACTGAACGTTCGCCGTAAGTTCAAGAAGACCGAAGTTCTGAAGTAAGGCGTGGAAACCCACGCGCTGCCGTGTTTGGGCTGACGCTCAGAAAGAGGCTTCTTAATTAGACATAAGAGAGGTCGAATTTGTTTGGGGCCCCATGGAATGGAGTTGTGCATTACCTTTGGCTCATGCATAGAAAGACATTTGGCTACAGCAGCCACGGGCACTCTGGAATACCCAACGCCGCAGTCAAGAAAATCGACGCGACCTGCGGGGAGTGTATGAGTAAGTCGTAAGTTGTATCGTGCAAAACCGTGGTGCTGTATCGTTCGTAAGTTGGTATCAGCAGACTTGCTTGGGAACAATTTTGCTTCAACTGCTACTGCTATTCCTACTCCTCCTATTCCGACCTGCTGGCACGGTACGTCTACTGCTACTGCCACTGCCACCGCTACTGCCACTGCTACTACCACTGCCACTACTGCTGCTACTGCCACTGCTACTACTACTGCTACCACCACCACCACCGCCATCACGACTACTACCACGACGACTACTACTAGTACTACTCCAACTGCCACCACTACCACTACCACTACCACTACCACTACGACTACCACTACCACTACTACTACTACTACTACTACTACTACTACTACTACTACTGCTACTGCTACTGCTCGAACTGCTGCTGCTGCTGCTGCTGCTGCTGCTGCTGCTGCTGCTGCTGCTGCTGCTGCTGCTGCTGCTGCCGCGGCGACTACTGCTACTGTTACTGCGGCTGCTGACCCTGCTGCTGCTGCTGCTGCTGCTGCTGCTGCTGCTGCTGCTGCTGCTGCGACCCGAGATGACGATGATAACGCCTCGAGAACGAGTACTACCATGTACCGCGCATGATCCTTTGGCCACACCCACCACCAGCTCCAGCACGAACGGAACAACTAGCGCCCTTCGACGTCGGTGAAGACAGGCAGGCCTCGCCGATGTTGGAGGAGATCAAATAGCGGATGACCTCAGCGTCCACCGATGCTCCTACTCCCCCAAAGGGTCGAAGTACCATTATAGTAGGTACTTAGTAGGTATTTGGGCCACAAAAGTATATACCATACTAGTACTCGGACCCTTTGGGTCCCTTGCCTTCCTCGATGCGTTGCAACGCCGGCTGAGGCTGCAGCCGCTTTCATGTTCTTGTAGATGGACCTGCCCTGCTCCTCAGCTTTAGTTGAAATCTTTGTCCTTCAGGGATGTTTCTGAGTTTAGAGTTCTTTCGGGAGGCAGCGCCTTGTCTTCGCAAACCTAGACGGTGCTGGATACTTGCGGAGGTACAGTACTTCAGGGTGACCCCAATCTAAACTGGTCTGCGCTCGTGATTGTCTGCGACCTGACTATTGTAAAACTCTACAGCCTACAAACCAGTAAAGGACGCATACACGGGGCCAACCCAGGTGATTGCTCTATCAATCTGGCAAACAATTGAAAAAGCGTTTTTTTGTGCCGGCTGTTAATAATTACAAAACCTCAGCCAGTGGAAATCTGGAAACCCACTATAACCCAAGGCTTTCTAGAAACCGGCCAAGAACCTCTTGAACCCGTAGCTTCTGTCTGCATGGCAACAGGAAGACAATACTAAACCCGAATCCGCAAGATCGTAAGGAAAATCTAAGGGTCGGAATAATCACATTTGTTTCTTCCTCAGGGTTCCATAATAAGCTTTTAATGCGACTTACCCCCAAACCCAATTCTAATCATTAAGGCCCCTACACTACAGCCATATACCATGATTGTCATGGTTATGGTTATTGCCATTGTTACGGTCGTCATAGTTTCCCATTGACCCTAGACCCTAAACCCTGAACCGTCGGCTATAAGAAGACATGGCTCCACTGCCGCGACGATGGTCGAGAAGTTGTCGTTGGCTAAGACCATGTCCTGAGCTTAGCTGGGTTTAGGGTTTAGGGTTTAGAGTTTAGGGTTTAGGGTTTTGGGGTTTAGGGTTTAGGCTTTAGGGTTTAGCCTTAATAATTATCTAGTACAATTTTGGGGGCTCCTTATTATAATTATAGTATACTGGGCCCCAAAACCATATTCTACTTATTTAAGGCCCTTACATTACACCTTCAGTGGTTTGGGGCTTTAAGGCGTTTGAGGTTTCAGGTTTTTTGAGGTCGAGGAGCTTCCCAAGGTTTAATGATCCTACCTTTTTACTGGCAGTTGCGCTCTCTCAGGGCCTTCAACATAGCCAGGCGCGACAT